CGGTAAGGACCTGGGCATTGGCACGGTAGGTCCGCGGCGCTCTGTCGCGATCCTCAAGCAACGTTTCGCTGCAGCTAGTCACAGGTCCAGCCAAATTAAGCGCGTAGTCAAGACGGACCGCAGGGCCCAAGGCCTTGTCCGCACCGGTTGGCTCCCGCAGGCTCTCTGGGGCTGCGAATCCCAAGGCGTGAGTCCGACCATGGCCCAAAGGGCCAGAGCGGCCATGGCGGGCATGGTGGGGCGAAAGGAAGGTGGTTGTGCGACCACGGTGCTGCGATGCGCTTTCCAGGACCCCCACTATGACCCCATGATTTCCACTAGGATTAGGGTTTTGCGTGAATGGACCGGTCTTCTTCCCTCCCTCATGCAAACGAACGAGCATGGGCTCCGCGTTGCGTGGGGCCAGGCGCTCGGTCGCCTGCAGTGCGTGGAGACCCGGTGGAGACGAGTGAATGGTTTTGTTGCTGCCGCTGTTGCTTGTCTTCTGGAGGCGGGGTGGAAACCTGAAGAGCCAGACCGTTGGGTAGATCCCGACGGCGAGGTTTTCCACGTTTTAACTTGCGACCATGAGCGTTTGCTGGATTTGGCTCTGCTCGAAGCCTTTGACAAGCAGGCCTGGAAAAAAGCGAGCGAGCATTACCACGGCAGCAGCCTCGTAGACCGTGCTGACATGTTTATCCCGCTGCGCAAGCTTAACAAGCTCCGTTCAGCGGGAGCGCACGACCAGGCTGCAGTCTTAGAGATGATTCTTTCTGGGGCTCTTTGGCCGGCGTCTCGGCGTTTCGGAGTTGAGGCTCGGAGGCCTTTCCCGAGGGTAGCCGAGGCCCTTCCTTCGGCCCCCTCGGCCCCAACCCATTTTTCCTCGGGGGGCCGCGGCGTGGTAGACGATGAATTTGATTTTGAAGCCATGGTGCAGGAGGCTGAGAGGGAGGATTTCGCGCAGGAGGAGGAGGAGGCCATGTTTTGTGAGCTCTATGATGAGGAGCCGCTTCAGGCCTCTAACCCCGCGTGGACCTCCCCGAGTTGCCCTCGGTGCGGGGCCCCTCAAGAAACCTTGTTGCACCAGCTCTGGACCTGCCCAGCCAACCTCCAAATCTCTGGATTTAAAGCCGATTTAGTTGCCCAGGCAGAAGATGGCGCGACTGATGCGCCAAGTTTCTGGCTGAGAGGCCTCCCACCGCTCCCCTGGACCTACCAGCATTGTTGCGTTCCTATCCAGGGCGCGGAGCGCCTCAGTCCGCAGCTCCGAGTGGATTCTTTCCAGCTTGATTCGGGGTGTGTGATTGGGTCGGACGGGGCGGGCGGGGAGGAGAGCGAGGACCCTAGGCTGAGGCGCTGTGGCTGGGGTTTTGTCATTCTCCGAGGAGCCCAGCACTTGGCCTGGGGACTAGGCCCCATGCCGGGTGATCGGCAGACGGTCCCAGCAGCAGAACTTTATGCTATCACGCGTGCCGCCCAGCTTTCCACTGGGCCGATCACTTGTGTTATAGATAATGCCGGTGTTGTCTCGGGCATCCGAGCGGGGCCCCGCATCAGGCACAAAAAGATGGTGCGGCTCTGGGCCGATTTCTGGGCGGCGGTTGGACAACGGCCGATTGCGATTCGCAAGATCAGGTCGCATTTATCTATGGAGGATGCCCAGGCTTTAAATTTTGACCCCGTAGACTGGCAAGCAAATCGATTGGCTGACAAGGCGGCGGAGGAAGGTGCGCGTTCGGCCCAGGTTCCTTTTGAGGACCGTCGGAACGTGCTCCTCGCTGACAACCTGTGCTCCCAGGTCCTGGATTCCATCTTGGCTGTTTCAGTTTCCCTGGTCAAGCAAGCGCCGGCTCTGTACGGGGCAGCGGCCAAGGGGAATCGCCAGGAGGAGGCCAAGACCCGTTCCGCCCAGGCCAAGCAGGCTCATCTTGAATCCTTGGCCTTCCTGTTGAGCCAGACCCAGCACTCCGTGGAGCAGCGGGCTCATGGACCCTGGAGGTGCACAATTTGTTTTGCACGTGACGGAGGGGACAAAGAAGCCTTCCTGCAGTCACCTTGTGCGGGTTTTCCTACTCAAATCCATGATTCCCATCATGTCGATGCGTTCAGGGGTGTGTTTTGGTGCCAGGTCTGCGGTGGGACGGGCGTCCCTTCTCGCGGGAAACTCCAGAAACTTGGCCGTCGATGCATCCCTGGGCTCACCGACCACGGGAAGAGGGTATTGAACTGTTTGACAGCAGGGAAATTGCCCCCAGATCTCAAGGCTTGGCCTGATTGATCGGGGAAGGCTGTGCCGTCTCCTGTCGCGGGCCTCGGCGGGGCTGTCGCCCCCCGTCGTTGGTCGACAAACCTCCACTGATGGAGGCGGCACGGTTTTTGTTTTCCCTCCCCTTTCGGAGGCCCTCAGTGGACCCTTCCTCCGCAGGCAGGTAAGAGGTAAGAGGAGGAGGAAGAGTCGGTCGCCGAAGGACGAAGGGGAAGGATGGAGGTATTCGCCAGCCTCTTCTTCGCCTGTCGCCCGCGCGCTGCGTGGCGCGCGCGGGCAGGCCACGCAGCCTCTTCTGCCGACCCCGGAGGAGGGCCCAGGGCCAGAGACCCGAGTGGCAAGCCCCAAGTCGGGGGCGGAAAAGAGGTGGGTGATGACTAGGGGGGGGGTGGATATCATGACGGGGGCCATGATATCTCCCCAGATCTCATGGCGCCTCTTCTTATTTCATCACGTCCCAGGCCCCCCCGCTGGGCCGCGCACATGCCGCCGGTCATGATTTGCACCCCCCCCCTCTTGGACACCCCCCTCTTGGCCGCTCCCGAGGCAAGCCCCAAGGGTCTTGGAGACGCGCCTCGCACGGGCCCCAACCATGAAGGGTCAGCGGCTGCACGGCATGAGCCAAACGATCGAGAGACGGTGGCACTAGTGGGAGGCTGCCTCCAACGCTACCTTTCAGTCGGGCATGTCCCTCTACAGGAGGTAGATTCAAGAATAACCAAAAAGTTGTCTGGGGACGATTTTGTTAAAAAATGCGTTTTTTACAATCTATTTTGTATGATTTGTGTTTCGATCAAAATCCGCCTGTAGGGGGACATGCCCGACCTAACGCTTCCTCTCGGACACAAGACTCGTGAACTGCCTCTGGAGAGCGTCGCCAGCGAAGAGACGCCAGGGCGCAGGGGAAGCCCAGGGAGGAGGAGCGGATGCGGAAGTGGGCGGGGTTGGGAGGAGGGGATCAGGAAAGGCAGGCTTTGACGGTGGTGCGGTCGCTTCGGGGCCGAGCTAGGGAGAGGGGGGAAGGGGAAGGGGAAGTGGGAGAGGGAAGGGGAGGGGGGGACAGGGCAGGAAGAAGGGGAAGGGGGAAGGGGTGAAGGGGAAGGGGAAGGCATCACGAGGGACGGCGACCAATCCATCAGGAGGCCAGCTGTTTTCGTGGCATGGCCCCCCCCGACCTCTCGACCCATCTCGGCCCTTTTCCCATTGAGGGTCCGGCTTTCGGTCCCGAGCGTTTTGCTGGCAGTCCGTGGGGCCCGACAGTCGCACCAGAGGGGCAAGGACGTTGTTCGACTCAATTTGTCCGTGCTGCCGTATGTCTGGAAGTCGGGCGAAAGAAGGGGTCCCCAACTCGAGTTAAGAAGGGGTCCGCAAATGGCCCATCTATGGCTTAGGCATCGTCCATTACAATGCTCTGGTATGGTTGGCATCCACTGCACGTTGCGATTTTGAGGAGGGCAGGAACGCGACTCTCGAGAGTTGCCCGTTGACGGTGACGCATCGCCCAGCCATTGCTGCCCGCATTGCTATGTCCCCGCCCATCGCCTGGGGCGCATTGAATGTGTGGTGAGATCCTGGATTATGTGAGTTAACATTCTGCATTTGCCCAAAATGTTAGCTCACAGGTTGCGGTATGCCAACATGTAAATTCACATATGCGATCTGCCAATCAAAAAATAAAACCGAAAAATGTGGATTCACACCCTGCCTTTTAAATTCACTAGTTACAGGTATCCAATATGTGGATTCGCATTTTGCGTGTGTCCAGCATGTGAATTCACATTCTGCATTTTGCAACGCATGGGTTCCACACTGCTTGGGCCAGCGACAGTGGCTGGGCGTGGCTGGGCGATGCGTTACCGCTGCACTCCCGCCTGACAGTGCCCACGCGCAGTGGGTGCCAACGATGCTGGATCAGTCGAACCCCCACTCTTTCACCCTCCTTTCACCTTCCAGTCCTCGGCCTCGGCGAGGATGATGAGGACGAGGGCCCAGACTTACTTTTTTGCCATGTCCGTTGCGCCTCGGGGCGGTGTGGGCCACCCTCCGGCAGCCGGAGGGGGCTCGACTCGACGGGCGTCCGGCGACGACGGGCGCGAGGGACAGACGAAGTCGGCGGTCGGGAGCTCCCCAGCCCCGATCGGGGAGAAACTAGCACTGCCTCCGCAATTTTGGGGTCGGCGTCGAAGGGTGCAGGCTCGAACCTAGCGGTTTGCTACGGCCGGCGCGGATGAGATTGTTGGGTCGAGTTGTAGTTTGCCAGAGCATGGCCAGCGAGCGCGCACGGCTGACGGGGTGTACGCTGGACTTCGCACAAGCTCTCATTCAGATTCATGACGATCTGATCTTCTTTCCGTGCTCTCTCTGCTCCGCACTCTGCGTCTTCATGGCAACGAAGCCCCAGATGTCAATTGTTTCATCCTGTGCGTGGTTTCATTTTTTTCTGGAGGCGGTGAGGGAGCACGGAAGTGTTCCGATTATGTTACCATGCCCGCCACGTGTGGGTAAATTATCGTCACTTCCGGTCGCTGTCAAATTCCTAGTCTCACAATGCATCCCGCGTCTTCCCTGCCCCCCCGTGCGGCGTTTCACGGGCCTAGAATCGATATGAATCCGTTCGTTCCGGAGTATTCTCTTCCAAAACGCTCTGAAACGGCCGCGGCGCCCGAGACATCTTCCAACTCCGCCGATTCCCAGAGATATCCCATTTATACATCTCCGATTGTGTCTTGATGTTACTTTCGTCGTACGGCGCAAGGACGAGTTGAAGGGCGCGAAGGCGAAGCTCGACAGCGCCAGCGACGACGTCAAGGGCATGTCCGATAAGATCGACGACGCGAAGAGTACGGTGGCGAGAGAGCCGATCGGGGCCCAGCGTACGACTCTTTAGTGGTCTCTGCTTGCCGCCTTCACGAGGTCCGAGGGATGGGGAGGAGGAGGAATAAGAAGAGGAGGAGGAAGAAAATGAGGAGAAGGACGAGGGACGGAGAACGGAGGAGGTCTGAGTGGGGCATGATGGGATGAGGCTTGGCTGATGCAGGGTAAGGACGTGTTGGGGGTGGGAGTTAGAGATGAGGGACGAAGGACACGAGTCGATGGCAGGGGGACATGCGGCGGCCCAAGAGACACGGAGCGCGAGAGAGGAGGGTGGAGGGTGAAGCGAGGAAGAGGAGATATCCAGGACAAGAGGGATCAGGCGATCGCAAACATGGATCAGGGGGGGCGTGGATTAGCGACGGGTCCCGTTTCTTGGGTAACTCGCGGATTTCCGCCGCCGAATGAGGCGGCACAGGCAGCATTTTGGGAAGGGCACCTCCCCCGATCCACGGGTTTGGTGACCGCGCGCCAAATCCATGGATCGCTAATCCATGCTTGCGCGCCCCCGAAGGAAGAGTTGAGCGAGTTCCGACATCCGAACCGATCCGATTCTAGGTGCCATCTCTGCCCATGGCGCCAGGGTGCTGTGGCGGTTGCTCAGCTGGGTCACGGGTCATCCTCCTGGAAGGAGAGGGAAGGCCGCAGTCTTCGTCCCCTTCCGCAGCCGTTTTGGACAAGCTATTCAGACCCTCGCGCGTTAGTCTCGTGATTCAGTTGGAACGATGGGTCCGATAACTCTGTGCCGCGCTCGGCGAAGCCGTTTTGGCTCAAGCGTGCGCTCGAGGATACAGTTTGCCGCCCAAGAGCATCTCCCGGAACGCTCGCAGAGCGTCCCTGGTGAGCTTTGGACCGGCTGCGGTGCCCGACGCATCTCCCTCCTCCTCCTCCTCCTCCTCCTCCTCTTTCTCCTCCTCCTCCTCCTCCTCCTCCTCCTCCTCCCCCTCCTCCCCGAACCCGCCTGCGCTCAGAGCTGCCAGCCTCTCGATGCTGCCCAGGCTCGTGGGCACGCACGCGTGCTGGGAGCCCCGCGGCCCCCGCCCCCCGGGGCCGTGAAGGAGGCCAAGCCGGCTCGAGGAGCCGGCAACGCGGGCCTTGCTCGGAGCAGGTCGTCCAGAGGTTCTGCGGGCGAGCGCCCGCGGAGCGGCTGGCGGCGTCCCTGCCGGGCCCACTGGCCAGGGCACCAGAGGCAGGGGTCGGTGCTAGCTCGGGGGTCCGTCAGAGCGCCGGCTCCTGCAGGATGCTGCAGGGCCAGGGTCGCACTGACCCAGTTATCGTTTAACGAATCCCCATCCCCATATCCAGACAGCCCATCTCAGCACCCCAGTTGGGGAGGTGCCCCTCGAAGCTCGAAGGGAACAGCCTCTATCCCCATCTAGGGGGATAGATCGGCCACGCTCGTGGGGATGGGGATCGGTGACACGATGCCCAGTGAACCCGGGGGTGGGGGCGCAGGATCGTGCAGAACACGGCAGGGCCTTGCAGGAGTCTGCAAGGCCCGACGGACCCGGGCCAGTGCACCCCCGACACTGGAACCGGCTCGCCGGCGCCGGGAGGCAGGCCCGCGGGCCCGGAGGGCCGGCCGACGGCGCCTCGCGATGCGGGGGGGCGCCGTGCCGTCGCCACCGGAGAGGGCTGTCCTGGGCCAGCAGAGTCCCGGGGTCTGTTCGCCGTGCTCGGGCTCGAGGGGGCTTCGCAGTCCCTGGCGCTTGCAGAGGGCGGTCCTCCCGTCGGGATGAAGAGCTGGTCCGGGGCAAGGCACCCGGGATCTATGGGGCTTGTTTCCACCCTTTTTCATGGAAGTGCTGGCTGGGGCGTCGACTCGGAGCCTGGGCACCGAGTAATTACGGATTCGGGGGCGGCAAAGAGGGGGGTGATGACTAGGGGGGGGGGGATATCATGACGGGGGCCATGATATCTCCCCAGATCTCATGGCGCCTCTTCTTATTTCATCACGTCCCAGGCCCCCCCGCTGGGCCGCGCACATGCCGCCGGTCATGATTTGCACCCCCCCCCCCCTCTCGGACACCCCCCTCCTGGCCGCTCCCGACGGATGGCCGTGCTTGGAGCTGAGATCGCCGGGTCGGTGCGGGGGTCCACGCTGGCGGCCACTCGAAGGACCCAGGCACCCGACGACTCGGCATCGTTCGAGGCCTGCGCTCCTGCGCAGGACGACATTGGCGGCCATCGGCGTGACCATCTGGCGGCGCGCTGCCGCCTTGTCCCACGCATGCCTCCCCGTGGTCGCTCTCGAGGGCTTTGGGCGGAGGCCGTGCCCGCGTCAGGGGCGTTCGGCGAGGGTTTGCGCTGCCGCGGGAGCCGGCGGCCCGGGCACAACAAAGAACCACAACAACTACTAAGTGGATTTTTCGGGGGGGGGGGGCCCTCGGGAAGAACCCATCGACCCCCGACATGCGCACTTCGGTTGTGGTTGTGGTCGATTTGGGCGTTCTGAGACGCCACATCGACCACAACCATTACGAAGCTGGTTTCGATGTTCCGACAGTTTTTGGATTGCGCAAGACATCCCCTGGGGTGTGACGTCGGTGTGGTTGTTGCCTGCTACCCCCGCAGGGGGAGCACATAACTGCTTTCTCATCCCCGTTTCTGCGCCGTGGAGCCCGCGGCCAGCTCTCCGAGGCCGAAGAGGGGTGGACTCGTCCCTTGACAAACGACCGTAGGCCTTCAGGTGCTCAGGCGCTTTTGGAGCGCAAGCATTCTCGTAAGTGCGCGTGAGTGGCGCCACAAGGTGGCTCCACTCCCGCTCCCACGCTCCGAGGCTCCGAGGCTCCGCGAGCCTCTGATTCTAAACCATTCCGAGGCTCCACGACTCCGCTCCGTGGCTCCTCCGAGGCTCCTCCGAGGCTCCACGACTCCGCTGAGTGGCGCCACAAGAAGGCTCCACAAGGGTTTCCAACCGGTGGCTCCGAGGCTCCGCGAGCCTCCGATTCTAAACTTTCTGGGGCCCTTGGCTCGCCCGTTCCTCCAAGGCCGTAGGATCAGACTTGAGTCGAGCGTGCCCCTCTACAGGAGGAAGATTCGAACATAGCCCATGAGAAAATAGTCCGGGAACGAGTTTGGCTGATGTGTGACAATTTTGGAATAGTTTGGGAGAATTTGTTCCCTCCAGAATTCGCCTGCAGGAGGACGTGCCGGACCTGAGAGATCAGACTCCCGCGCGCGGCGTTCGGTGTCACGCACGCACGCCGCGGGCGTGGGAGCGCGTGCTGCAGGCCGAGGATGCCACCAGCGAGCCTGTGCCCGGAGGCCGCGGTGGGGGAGCAGCTCGGGGGCAGCGCCGACACTCGTGGCGTGCTCGTTGCCTCGCGTGCGCTGGCGTGATGTGCGGTGCGCGAGATGTCGAGGGGAACGAGCAATGACATAAATACAAATGATACCCGAGAAAAACCCAATCAGGGCTATAGGGCTAGGGGGCTATAGGGATATAGGGCTATTGAGCTATAGGGCTATAGAGCTATAGGGCTATAGGGCTATTGGGCTATAGGGCTATAGGGCACCCCCGGGCACCCGGGCACCCCCTGGCACGCCGGGGCACCCTGGCACCCGGGCACCCGGCCACCCTCGGACACCCGGGCACCCAGGCGTGCGGCGAAAATCGGAGGCAAACCTAAGCTAACCATGTGAATCCGCTAGGACCCCTACAGAGGCAAGCTCAGATTGGGGAAAAATCGGAGATCCTCGCGGATTTCTCGGATCCGCGCTGGACCCCCCCTGGCGGCGCCTCGGTCTCTCCCAGAGCATGTAGCTGCCACAGTGCGAAGGCGCGAGGGTGCCTAGCAATGCCACCTTCACGCATGCAACACCAGAGGTGCTCAGCAATATCACCTCTGGTCTAAGCTTTGCTGGGGGTGTGTAGCAATGCCACCTCTGGCGACAGGGCAATCTATGTCCGTAACGTGTTGGCTCATGTTTTGGACCATGGCTTTCAAACTAGTGGAAACAAGATACCAGCAAACCATCCACTCCGCTTCCCGGGCTGTAGAACGCGCAATTATATCGGCAGATACGTTGGTGTGTCGGGTGCTCTGGCCCCGAAGCAAAAATAAGGGGAGTTTGAGCCAGCCATCTCATTGTGCACAAAACAGATCAGCCAGGTTTTCATTGAGATTGCCGAGGAGAGTGGATTCCACAGAACCAGGACCCATGGATCCCATCCAGGATTCGTTAGCGGGCCCGTTGAGAGCAGGGCCCTCTAAAGCCTTCCACCCCCCGCCGCTTCCCTTCTTCCCTCACCCCCGTGCCGAAACCTTTCCCCTTCCCCGAAATACACCCTATGCCCCCCCTGCACCTCCGACATCCCTTTTGGTCGCCGAGAGGTGGGCGACGCGGCGGATGAGCTCAAGGGGAAGGTCGAGGACAAGGCACCGCCTGCGCATGCGCTCCTGCTCTGCACACGCGGCCCGGCTCCCTGCTCGGGTACTGGCTTGCTCGTCATGCTCTCCTTGCTGCCCGGCACAGAGCACCCGAGCTCAGCCACGCGCGAAGCGCGCGGCCCACCTCCGAGGAGGCTGCCCAGAGTGCCTGAATTTGAGGCGGGCCTGTCCCTCCAGAGGAGGAATGTTCAAGAATAGTTAAAAATTAGTTTGGGGACGGTTTGTCCTTTACTGTTGGACTATTTAGGGGAATTCCTGGGGGGACTTTTTACTTTTCGTCCAGGATCCGCCTGTAGGGGGACAGGCCCGACCTAATCCGAGGAGGGTGCCCAGAGTGCTTGAATGAATTCTACACACAGTCAGCCCATGCAGCCTCAGGCTGGAGCCCGAGAAAAGCGGCGGCTCACGCAGTGTTCTGTTCGTAATGATGCTCGGCCTTACTTGCTCGTGCTGGCCTGCTTGTACTGGTGCTGGCTTGCTCCGAGTGGCCGACTGGCTCGTATTGGCTTGCTCGTCCATTGGCTCCTTGCTCGTACTGGCTTGCTCGACCACTGGCTCGTGCTCCTAGGTCCGCACTGCTCGTCGGCCACGCCCTGGCTCCTTGCTCGTACAGTACGAGCAAGCCAGTACTACTGGCTTGCTCGTAATGGTGCTCGGACTGACTAGCTCGTACTGGTGCTCACGATGCTGCTCCTGCGCTTCGTGCCCCAGGTGGCCCGGGGCTGCTCGTGCTGACTCTCTTGCTCCCCCCCCACCCCGCATGGGCCACGGGCCACGAGCGAGATCCTTTGGAAGCGCTGCAGCGCTGCTCTCAGGGCGTGGCGGATGCCATGTGGAGAGCTTCGAAACTGGTGGTCCTCAGAGGAGGCAAAAGGGACCCATACCGCTGCCCTCCCCTTGTTTTTTCTTCTTGGGCCTCCTGGAAGGCCCTCGTCGCCACCGCTGGATTCTCCTCGAAATCCTGGTCAGAACGCACCCCAGGAGAGGTCCGGGGAGTAGCGGTATCGGTACCTTTGGGTTTCACATGGTCCCGTCTTCGAGGTACGGTGGGGGTGTTGGTTTAGGAATGCGCCCAGGATGCTGCAGTTCCTGGACGGTTCCTTTTCTGATGAAGGCGGCAGTGCTATCCATGGCCAATCCAAGATTAGAGTTCCACCAGCTTCCAGATCCTGGATTTCGTGCCCACTGCTTCCTCATCCAATGCCCTCACCGCGTCGAGAGTTTGACCTGTGGTCGAGTAGCGCGGTGGCCGATGCGTGTTCGCCTTGGGCCGATTGCGTTAGCGCTCCCAGCTTCGGACCACGAATGCCTGCATGCTCCCCCAGTTTCGGAGCCCACGCATACAGTCACAGCGCACAGTAGGGATGAACATCGTTCCAAGGTCACCATTTCATCCTTGCCCCTTCGGCCCATCCTTGGCAACTTTCGCTGGCCAGCCCCGCTCGAGACACGTCAACATGACCTTCCAAGGCCCTTGCGTCTTTACCGCGCATGCGTATTAGGCGCTTTGGTTATGTTGCTCCCATCGTACTTCAGGAGCACATCCCACGCCGATGTCACCGAAGCATCGCCGACGACGATGCATTGCAAGTGCATCACCGATGCATCGCCGATGCGACGGCGATGCGGCGCGATCCGTCGGCCCCATCTACTCGGACCCCATCTAGGAGTCCTCTAGAGTGTGCTAGGGGCCTCTCGTGGTTCGCACGACATGTTCCTAGAACATCTCTGGCTGGGGCTGTCTTATTTTCACACATCGGGTGTACGTTCTAAGAACATCGGGGTTGGACAGACCTCCTACCCTGACACGTAGATTAAGGAATTGGCCGTTTTCGGTTCGCGAGAGGGCGTCGCGGCCGTCACTTTTGCGGGTCCAGGTCCGTCGGTTTCGATCCCAGGCCGTTTTCACTAAGGGGAGGTCTACTGAAGGAAGGTTTGTCCACCGCCGAGAGCAGTGCTTGTTTCCAAACCTTTAAGGGTTCCAAGAGAATGTCGTGGTAGGCCGACAGGAAGGCCGGGACGTTCGGGCGGTCGGTCGGTGTGCCGAGGGTCGAGCATTTTAAGTCGGGCATGGCCTTGTACAGGATGAAGGTGCAAGAATACAGTCGGGTCGCTGAAGAAGGAACCCTTTTGGTTGGGAAGGGGCTCCCCGTTCCTTAAGTGTTTCACAGATTGCCTCGGGTGTTCCGTAGGTTTTCGATCGCAAATCGAAGTTTAACTTATGGAAAAACAGGGGCCTCGTTCCTCATTTAGGGTTCCTTAGGTCAAGGCCCCGACTGTAGTCCAGAAACGGTCTGGGGACGATTTTTCTGCTATGTTTCGACAATCTCTGGGTCTGTTTTGACTCTGGCTTGCGTTTTTTTCCAAGATCCGCAGGTCGGGGGGGGGCACGCCCGACCTGGGTCGAGCATCGGGACGAGCGCGAAGTGGGCACGGAAAGCAGGGGTCCAAAGACCAACAGCCGTGGTTGTTCGTTTGGCATGTTTGGGCCCAGACATGCCCGCGTCGTGTATGTATAATTATATATACACATATGAAACAACATCAGGACAGGACGGAAGGTTTTTGGCGAATTTTGGCCTCGAGGAGCCCTTGCCGGGCCTCGGGGCCGTCAAAGAACGACTCAGCATGGAAAACCGGTCCCGGAGAAAGGGTCGGGACTTCCAGGGGCCCCGTATTGAACAAATCAGGACGTCGCATGTCTGGAAACAGGACTCGCTGTCGGCGTCGCCGCGGACGTTGTCCATTCGAGACAGACGGTCGCCTGCCCAACAGCGGCCGCTGTTCGTTTTGGACAACAGTTGCAGTTGGGCATCGTACCCATGTTGTCCGTATTCATTTCGGGCGTCTGAAGAGCAGTGGCGAAGCGTCTTGGCTTGCCTCTTAGCCCACCGACGAATGTCATACCCTTGTGTTCTTTGCGCGAAGTGTTCTTAGAACCGTTCTGGTTAGGATCGTCATGTTTGAGAACATCTCTTTTGTGTTCTACGAATACTGTTTTGGCTTTTGGACCATTGCTTGGTTCTAAAAACGCTGCGTGGTAGGCCTGTAGTGGAGGCCCGTGCCAAGAAACACCCTGCTTGCCTCGAAGGTGCCCTGGGCTTCTTGGGTTTCGATTGCTTTGCCATGGAAAGCGTGACGCTCCCACACCAGAAGCCCATGGACGCCCTGTGGTCTCAGGGTTGGGCTTCTCGTGGAAGGTTTCTTGTGGACTGGCCCTTTGTGGGCCCCGGAAACGGCAGGGCCATTTTGTCACCGTTTCCCCAAAAAATGTCCCTTGCAAATGGAAACGGCAAAAAGACGGCGACCGGAAACGGCAAAAAAACGGCTCCAGGATTGGAACCGGAGCCCGAACCGGTCAAACAACGGCGACGGAACCGGTAACAAAAATCGGCGTTGGAACCGGCAACAAAAAGGGCAAAACGGAACCGGTAACAAAAACGGCCCGGTCGTTTCCAGGGCCCACTAAAGACTGGCCTCCACTGTACAGGAATGCCTGGACGGTCGGCCTCAGCTCAACCCGCTCCGGGCTGCATGCCTCGCCGCCACCGCCGTCGCTGCCGCCGCCGCCGCCGCTGTCGCTGACGTCGCCCATGAGCAATAGCCTGGCATCGCTCGGACGTGTGCATTTTTTCTCGGCGAGGGCCATCGAGGAGCATCCTGGATCATTTGGCGAAAAAACCACGCGCGAAACCGAAAAAGACACAGGACATGGACGTCCGAGCGATGGCCAGATAGTTACTCGGGCGCGTGCGTTTTTGCTGGTCGGCGAGGCCACCGCCGGAACGTCTGGACCAAGGGGGGGAAAGGGGAGAGCACGGAGCCAGAGAGTGCATGAGACACGGACTGCGGTGACCAGGCTTGTAATCGGGTCGGCCGGCGGCGGCCCCGCCGGCGCGCTCCGCATGGAGCTCCGCGGGCGACCCAGAGTCGTTCGATGTGGAACGATTTGGACGTTTCGGAAACGGCCGATCGTTCAAGGTTGACCGATCCCCGCGGTGTCAGAGACCAGCGCCGAGGTCGGCACGACACGGGCCTGACGCAGGGGAACATTCGGCCGTCTCGGGGCCTTGTTCGGCGGTCTTCGGGCCGTCTGAGGGCTGTCCTGGGACGTGTTCGGGCGCCTTCGGCAGCTCCTTGGACCGTCTTGGGGCGATTTGGGTGGCTTCCTGGGCCGTCTGGGAGCGTCGGACGCCGGAACGGACGAGGGCGCGAGAAACAGACAACAACTAAGTAAAGCTAACAGGCGTTCGCCTCTCAGGGCTCACTTGGGGTTCCTCTCGGAGCCCTCTCGGGGCGTCTTGGGAGCTTCTGCGGCCATGTTGGGCCGTCTTGGAGAGATCTTTGGCTGTCTCAGGACCTCTGGGAGCAAGCCGCGATACAAGTGAGCTCGAGGCGTCTGAGAGGCAAGAAGTCGAAGGGGAAAGCTTCTCCCAGACAGGGGTGGTCCCCCCCCCCCCGGGGAGGGGGGTTAGAGAACCCCTCGGGCGAGATCCTCCCCGGGACCCCGCTCCCCTACAGTGGAAACTCATGCCAAGAAGCACCCTGCTTGCCTTCAGGGTGCCATGGGTTTCTTGGGCTTCGATAGTTTTTGTTATGTGGAAAGCGCGACGCTCCCGCATCAACAAAAAAAGTCAGTGGACGTCCTAGGGTCTCAGGGTCGAGTTTCTTGTGGAAGGTTTCTTGTGGTCGAGCCCCGACTGCACCCCGCCCAGGACATCCCCCTGGGACCCCCATCCCGCGACACCCCCTTCCCGGGGCGGGGGGGGATCAGTGGGAAGGGCATTCCCTTCGACTCGACTACGACGTTGCTCAATCTCCCGTTGGCTTGAACGTTTGAGGAGGGGGCCAGGGACAGGGGGGAGCGGCGACAGCGACGACGACGACGACGACGACGACTCAAACGGAAAAGCCTCTACGACGGACTTCTCTGCCCCTCTTCCTAGTCCTTTTCCCTGCCCTCCACCTCACTCTCCTCCCGTCAGCTTCATCGGTGGAGTGAGCTCGAAGGGAGCGTCGGAGGGGGGGCAGCGAAAGAGCGAGGGCCCCTCGAGGACACCTAATGGATTCGGGTGTTGCGAGCGCTGGACGCGAGGGGCTTCGGTCCGAGCGCTGCAACCACGACCCCTGCAACACCCCCCTCCGCTTCATTTGCTGCCTCCTCGTCGTTCTCCTCGTCTTCTAAGTCTTCGGGCGCGCTCCGCCTCCTCTCCGGATCACATCCCCTTCTCCCTTCCCCTCCCCCCCACCTTACTCTCCCTCCTCTGCCCCCGACTGTCCCCTCCCGACCCCCCATCGACTGTCCCCTCCGCGCCCTTCCTCGTCTCCCTCCGCGCCCTCCCTCGAACCCGCAACAACCAAAAAAAGACGTGCGAGCCCGGCAGATGGCAGACGCGAGCGACGCCCTGGAGAACGCCAAGGGCCCGGCCCTCGGCGCGCGCGGCGCGAGAGTGGCCGACGCCAGCGTCCAAGAGGAGGAGGAAGAGGAGGAGGCGGAGGAGGAGGAGGAGGAGGAGGGGAGGAGGAGGAGGAGGAGGAGGAGGAGGAGAGAGGGAGGAGAAGGAGTATGACGAGGAGAAGGAGGAGGACGGGGCTCAGCGCCAACAGGTGTCAGCCAACTCCTCCTCCTCCTCCTCCTCCTCCTCCTCCTCGTCCTACTCTTCCTCCTCCTCCTCTTCCTCCTCCTCCTCCTCCTCCTCCTGTGGCTGACCCGGGTCTGGAAGCCACGTGGGGCCGATCCTCCCCTTCGGCCCTCCGCTGGCCCACAGTTGGGAGCTGTTGAGCAAGACCAACACACGCATAAACGTAAGTTCCAAGCCCTTGCAAACGGGGCGTTGGACAACGGGCCGGTAGCTAAGGGTGCGTGTGAATGGTGTTTTCAAAAAAAAATTGAGTCGCCGCTCCTGGCGCGCTCCGCGCGCCAGGGAGGGGGCTCCCCGCGCGGAGCCAAGAAGTCCGTACGGAGCGTCGAAAGCTTCTGGTGGTGATGTTGTTTCTTCGTCTTCTTCTTCTTCTTCTTCTTCTTATTATTCTTCTTCTGGGGGGGGTCCTCCCTCCCCCCCTTTGGAGGCGGAGGCGGCGGCGGCGGCGGTCTCAGCGTCATTGCCTCTCGTGAGCGGATGGGCCCAGAGCAGGAAGGAAGGTTCGGCCCACGCCCTACGTAGGAGGCAAACAAACCTACCTCGCTTTTGACCACCCCCGCTTCCAAGAGATACCAAGCGATACCAAACTGCGGCCTGTACTGGTCAGGCCTCTTGACGAGGAGGCGCGTGGTATGATTTGGTTTTGCCTGGAAGCGAAAGTGGGGTAGGTAATTCACGCTCTGACTACGTCCAGTCAAACCCAAAGTAAGGACGCAGTGCGTCAGCAAGGGTACCTTTTCATCCTTGTTCCTTCGACCAATACTCTGCCGTTGTGTATGTCCAGGGGCGTCCAACTTGGAAGGTCCAAGGGCCTTGCATCCATGCCGTGCGTTCTTGCTCTATCGGTTTTGGCTGTAGCGGCGGCGAAATCCGAACCTTGCCCTCGCCGAAGCAAGGATTCAGGCAACTCCAGCGGCCGCGGGGGTAGGGCTCAGAGGGCTCAGAATTCGTCGCGCACGCGGTGACATCCGGTCCCTGCCCCTTCCTCCCATCGGTTCGGGAAGATCGGTCGTCGATGGGGGTAGGGTTCGGATGGCGCCGCCTGACGCAGGCTGGCACAAAACACAGTCGGGCCGCTGCATAAGGAGCACTTGCCTGTCAGCGTGGCGTTCCGCTCCTGTTTTGGCGGCGAGCCCCCCTTCCCCCGGATGCTCCTTCGGACTTCATGGACTTATTTGGACTACAAGGTTCGGACGTGTCCCCCTACAGGAGGAATATTCAAAATAGTCCAACAAGCAGTAAGGGGACAATATGTTAAGGTATGCTTGAAACTATGTTTGAGCATGTTGGTTTCTTCCGTCCAGAATTTGCCTGTAGGGGGACATGGCCGACCTAAATCAAAGGTTCCCGTTCCGCATCGATCGTTCCTGGAGGTCAGCGGCTCGACTTGCAGGGGGCCCGCCCAGAGTCCCAATCCAGAGTGAGCCCGAGGCCCCAAGCGGCCCGCCTGGAAGGTCTGGAAGGTCTGCGCCTTCCAGGCGGCCCAAGCGAGTCCGAGAGGCCTCTACAAGGCAGCCGAAGATGCCTCCAGTGCCGAGGAACTCTCTAAGATTCAGGACCACAATCGGCGAGGAAGCCGCACGCACAGCGCCTGGCTTATGATGCTCCAGCCTACTTAAGCCTTGATCACCAGAAAGAATTTCGAGCCCCAGGAAAGTACCGAAACTGGAGGGCTTTCACGTGGCGGGCCCCGGGAAGAGATACTCGATCGACACCGTTTCGATACCCTTCTGGGTGTTGGAAACTATTTCTGGGATGTGGTCCGCAAGTACGATGGGAGCAACACGGCGCCCAGCCCCGCCCGCGGACACGTTTGGTGGCGCGACGGGGGGGAGTTGCACGCGGGGCGCGGAGGAAGGATCAAGCAGTGGCGAAGCGTCCTGGCTCGCCGATCGCCCTGCTGGACAATGCTCTTAAGAGCCTGTTGTGGTTTCCACGACATGTTCTTGGAACATGTATGGTTGATCTGGTCTTGTTTTAACACATCGGGCTGATGCTCTAAGAACATCGTTTGTTCTCAGAACACTTGTTGGGGTTCTAAGAACATTTCGTAGTAGGACTATAGGAATGCCGGGACGGTCGGTCCCTGCTCAAAAGGGGCCATTTTCGATGGGGAGGGGCTCGGTGCTCCGTGACACCGTGATCGTTTGACAGTTTGCCTCCGGTTTTCCTGGGGCTTGCCATGGGAGAGGGGGCCTCGTTCCTTATTCAGGAGTCCTACGGCCAACGCCCTGACTGTACAGTGGGGACGCGCCTCCAGAAGCCACCTGCTCCTGGTGAGGGCGGGGTGCCCTGGGCTTCTTCGCTCCGCGGGCTGCGCGGTGCCCTTCCGCGGGCCCGCGAGGGAAGCGGCTGCGTTCGGTGTGCGCCGAGCTTTTCCTCCCCGCGCAGGCTGTTTCAGGGCGGGGGTTTCCCTGCGAGGGTTTTCTTGCGGCCGCGTGCGCCTTGGCTCTTCCGCCGTCGCTGGAGACTGCCCCTGGATCTGCGGGAGGTGCACGTACTCTGTCGCAGTTCCGGCGGGGATGCCAGCTTCTTGGCAGGAGGAGGACGGGGCGGAGGAGGAGGAGGAGGGGGAGGAGGAGGAGGAGGAGGCGGGGGAGGAGGGGGAGGAGGAGGGGAGGAGGGGAGGAGGGAGGAGGAGGAGGAGGAGGAGGAGGAGGAGGTTCTTTGGCAGGCGGGGGAGGAAGAGGCGGAGGAGGAGGAGGAGGAGGAGGAGGAGGAGGAGGAGGAGGAGGGGGGAAGAGGAGGAGGAGGAGGAGGAGAGGAGGAGGGGGAGGAGGATGAGGAGGAGGAGGAGGAGGAGGAGGAGGAGGAGGAGGAGGAGGAGGAGAGCTCCATTCTGCAGTTGACCTCCTGCTCGAGCGGTGGGCCGCGCGCAGCCTGCCCGGCTGCCGCGGCGCGCGCCGCCCCTCTTGGCGGCACGCCTCGGCCAGTGCCTGAGGGCAGCCCGGCTGCGCCTGCGCAGCCCCGGGGCACTCCAGGGTCAAGTCGGGCGTGTCCCCCATACAGGGGGATGTCCAAGCAAGGGTGTCCTCGAGGGCGCGAAGTTATTCGCGCTTCGCGCTTCGGCTCCGATTCGTCCTCATCCTCCCCTTCTCCCCTGGGAGGCGGCGCGAGAGCGCGAAGTTGTTTGCACTTCGCGTTTCGCGCAGCGCGAAGCGCGAAGTTGGGAGCCCTTGCAGAGCACTCCAGGGTGAAGTCGGGCGTGTCCCCCTACAGGGGGATTTTCGACGAAAACGAAAGCACATTGAAATAATACGCCAAGATGGTCAAAGAGAACTATGCACATGCACCGATCCTTGCAAGGCCCATCGTTGACCCAGGATCGGTGCATATACCTTCCTGGCCAAGGTAGGAGGGCGTATGCACCGATCCTGGGCTCAGGATGGGCCTGGCCAGAATCGGTGTATGTGCATAGTTTTTTCCTCTAGCTCCAGGGCGCTCCAGGGTGAAGTCGGGCGTGTGCCCCTACAGGGGGATGTTCGACGAAAAATATAACAGACTTACATAATACTCCAAGATGGTCTAACAATACAAATAATACTCCAAAATTAGTCCCCAGACCATGTTTGCACTATTTCTGAATCTTCCTCCTGTAGAGGGACGGGCCCGACTTAAGTCCAGGGCATCGACCAGGGAGGGGAACAAAAGCACAGGCACACTTCAGCTTGGCATCGCTCGGACATGTGCAGTGTTCCTCGGCGAGGACCATCGAGGAGCACCCTGGACCACGGTGCGCAGAAGGCAAGCACGAAGGCGAAACAAAACGCACCGGGGAATGGACAGCCGAGCGATGGCAAGTCATGGCACTGCTGGGCCTCCGGCGCCTCCCAGCATCGCGCCTTTTGCCGCAGACGCCGCGCCGGCTGCAACGGCATCCAGCGAGCGGCTCGACTAGCAGTACGACCTGCTCGGCCGCCTGGGCTTACGTAAGTCGGGCGTGTTTCCACAGGAGGAAATTCGAAAATTGTAAAAACAATGTCCTGGGACGATCGTTTACATGTTCTGAATATTTTTGATTGTTGTGCATTCTGAGATCTGCATTTTGGATTTTTCCTCCAAGATCCGCCTGCTGGAGGACATGCCCGACCTAAGCCTGGGCCCGATCTGCCTCCATGCGAAACCAGCCGGCAGCGCAGGCGACCAGGTGGGCGGCCCACCCGCACAGCGAGCGCCCCGGGGGGCAGCTGACAGCACGAGAAAGGGCGGCGCCGGCGGCAGGCGTGTGGGCGGAGGGCGCGTCGGTCAGGGGCAGTGATAGATGGGGGATCGGCATAGGGGGGGATGCATCGACCCCGAATCGCCCATTGATCGCCGATAGGGGCCCGATAGCCCCAACCTGCACAGGAAGGTGCGGATTCACTATCGGTGGCCCATCGCCGATCTATCGGCGATGTATCATCGACTCCAGGTCGATGTATTTCCCCCTATGCCAGTCCCCCCCGATCGTTGCCCCTCAGTCGGGGCGCCCTGGCGAAGTCGCCGAGGGCATCCCTGGACTGTGCAGGGGCGCGCTCGGCGGCAGCTGCAGCCTCGGCACGTCGGGAGGCACCCCCCCCACCCCCAGCGGGGCTTCCCGGGGCGTGCGCGGGCGTCGTGCTGTCTGCGGGCGCGTGCAGTGCCATGCGGGGTGCACCCGAGGCCGTGGTGCGGTCGCCTCCCTGCTGCAGCAGCGGCTGCTGTAGCAAGACATGGTGAATTTATGGTTTGGCCGTCGAGGCCATTCAATACGGGTCTGTCCAACAACAGTTTGGCAGGCCACGGGGTGATACGTTTTATGGCTAATTCGTATCCTTTGGCATCTGGTTTCACTTGTCTCCTCCTCCTCCGGGGCCAGTATTCGGCGACGACCTATTGGCAACGAAACGTGCCGTGCCAAGCTCTCTGCCACAAACAAAAAAAACAACCATCCAGAAAAAGTTTGGTAAAGGATGTTCTGGCTAACAGAAGCATGTCGGGGAGCGCCTTCACGAGCACGAGCGGCAGCATTCTCTCCTCCATCTCGCCGTCGCCGTCGTCGAAGCACATGCAGCAGGAGGCAGATGCGCAGCGTGGCGCCGGGCTGCTCGCACCGCTGCGGCCACCTGCACGGGGCGACAGGAGCGAGCGGCCCGCAGCCCCGCCAGCAAAGAGCAGGAGGGGCCTGGTCCAAGGCTTAAGTCGGGCCTGTTCCCTACAGGAGAAATATTCAAAACTAGGCAAAACAAATGGTCGGGGAACGATGTTTTGATGTTTTCTCATATGTTTTTCTGTAGGTTTGGGCTATTCTTTATTTTTCGTCCAAAATCCGCCTGTCGGCGGACATGCCCGACCTAAGCCTCGTCCAAGGCTGTGGCGCGGCTGCCCGCACACTCCAGCAACGCAGGCGGGGGCGGCGCGCATGAGGTTCGGCGGCATGGCTGGTTGGAGCCCCAACGGTCGCAAGCTGAAGCCCCTGCCGGTCGAGCTTTGGGGAAGAGGAGCGATGGGAGGAAGGGGGAGAGGACAATAGGCAGCAGAGGATGGAGGAGGAGGAGGATGCGGGGAGATGAAAAGCGTGGATGTAGTGAGGAGGATGCTCAGGATGAGGAGGAGGAGGAGGACGACGACGACCAGGGCAAGGACAGACTGGGAGAAGCAGCTGAAGTACGAGGATGTGCAGGCAGACGAGGAACGGGACAGGACGTGGACGAGGATCAGTAGGAGGGCTGTGGGGAGGACACACGAGGAGAGGAGACTTATGAGACGACAGTGCTGAGGAAGACGATGATCAGCGAACTTGAGGAGACGGACGACGAGGACCAGTGAGGAGGGGACGAGCATGAGGAGACGGGGGAGGGGGCAGGAGGAGGGATGAGGAACGTTGAGCAGCAAGAACAGCAGCAGCGGTCGTAGCGAAAGCAGGAGCATAGAGAGGAATAGTTATGGAGTTGGGGAGCTGGAGGGGAGAAACACGGAGGAGAACGGGGATGATGATGATGATGAGGAGAAGGCTGATTACACCACGGATCGTCACCCCCTCCCGTCTTCGCCTGAGGTAAGCTCGAAGACAAGCTCAAGAACCCAGACGGTCCGCTTCGTCCCCTCCGCTTCCACCCGTCCGTTTCTTCCCTTGCTTGTTTCTTGATGTGTTTTGTTCTTTCTCACTCTCTCGTTCTCTCTCTCTCTCTCTCTTCCTCTGTTTCTCTCTCTCTCTCTCTCTCTCTTCTCTCTCTCTCTGGAGCGAGCGCCGCTACGGACTGTCGTCAGACAGCGAGCGATCAATTGGTCGGAGCGTTCAGCCGACAAAGTGAACGTTGATCGGATGCATCATGAACCATGTGGCAAAATCAGATGTCAGTTGCAGCATTCGAGGGGGAGCGGATGAGTCCGCCTTCGGGGGGTTGGTAGAGACCATTCTGATTTCAGAGAGGGCGGCATTCGTGGTGCAATCTACGTGGTGCAAACTACGTTATGTGTTCTACGAGTTGTATTCTATATTGTGCAGCACATGTGGTGCACCCTGTGTGGTGCAATCCATGTGGGGCAAGCTAAATCGTGCAACCTACGGTAAGTAATATATGTGGTGTCATCGGTGTGGTGCAGGCTGATTGGTGCAAGCTACGTGGTGCAATCTATGCGGAACCGACTTGGTGCAATCCACGGGGCTCGCACACCCAACATTGCCACTAGAATGCGGCGGCGACGGTTGGCGGCGACGGGCGGTGACGGGCGGTCACGAGCGCGGTGACCGACACCCATGCCCAGAAGCAGCGGCGGCGACGGGCGGCCACGAACGCGGCGACCGACACACGGGCCCAGCAGCGGCGGCGGCGACGGGCGGCAACGAGCGCGGCGGCCGACTCCCAGGCCCAGAAACAGTGGCTGCGACGAGCGGCGACGGGGCGGCAAAATGCCTGCCGGACCGACACCCAGGCCCACTTCGTTGCAAAAGAAGTAACGCCGTTAAGTACAAGCGTTGTTGTGGTAATACGCTGAACTATATATATATATATATATACATAGGAGGTGAGGGGGTGAGATCGAAGTGGAACGGAGAGCCCCCCTACCGGGAAATCGATTTCGGTTTCGTGTTCGTGCGTGCCGTGCGCGCGGGCGAGGCGAAGCTGCGTGGGCGGGCGAGAGGAAAGTCTCCTGTGGCTGAGGCGCGGCTGGACCAAATGTGTCTCTTCCGGGCGGCCGGTGGCGCGCGGTGTCCCGCCGGTGTCCCGCTGGTGTCCCGTCGGTGTCCCTGTGGCTGAGGCGCGGCCGGACCAAATGTGTCTCTTCCGGGCGGCCGGTGGCGCGCGGTGTCCCGCCGGTGTCCCGCTGGTGTCCCGTCGGTGTCCCTGCGGCTGAGGCGCGGCCGGACAGAATGTGTCTCTTCTGGGCGGCCGGTGGCGCTCGGTGTCCTGCCGGTGTCCCGCTGGTGTCCCGTCGGTGTCCCTGTGGCTGAGGCGCGGCCGGACCAAGTGTGTCTCTTCCGGGCGGCCGGTGGCGCGCGGTGTCCCGCCGGTGTCCCGCTGGTGTCCCGTCGGTGTCCCGTCGGTGTCCCGATGATGATGTGGATGATTATGATGATGATGATGATGATGATGATGGTGATGATGATGATGATGATGATGATGATGATGATGATGATGATGATGATGATGATGATGATGATGATGATGATGATGGTGATGAATGGTGGTGATGTGATGATGGTGATGATGATGATGATGATGATGGTGATGATGATGGGTGTTGTTGATGATAATGATCATGACGTCGATTGTGAGATCGATAGTGACATCGATAGTGAGACCGGATGTGAGATCGATTGTGAGATCGATAGTGAGATCGATTGTGAGATCGATAGTCAGATCGATTGTGAGATGATGATGGTAATGATGATTATGATGATGATGGTGCCGAGTGAAAATTGCCGAGTGAAAATCGATAATGAGATCGATTGTGAGGTGGATCGTGAGACCGAATGTGAAACCGAATGTGAGATCGATTGTGAGATCGATTGTGAGATCGATAGTGAGATCGACAGTGAGACCGAATGTGAGACCGAATGTGAGATCGATTGTGAGATCGATTGTGAGATCGATAGTGAGATCGATAGCGAGATCGATAGTGATATCGATAGTGAGATCGAATGTGAGATCGATTGTGAGATCGATAGCGAGATCGATTGAGTGAGACGTTGGTTCCCCCTTCCCCCTCACCTCCTTATCACCCGCAGGGTGGTCGTATAGGTGTATATATATAGACATATCTATGTGTGAGGGTGTCTCTGTGTCCCTGGACTTTTTGAGGGTCGGGGACAACGTCGGGGTGGTGTGGTGTGCATTTTTTTCCCCGTTTTCCCGGGGAAACACCTAAACATGTACACACCAGGGTCCCGTATACACCACGATCCGCCTTCCTGTGCAAATTTCAGTGCAGGGCCAGAACAAGCGTCGGTGTATTCATCTCGGTCCCCTACCTCAGCATCGCTGGAGTGGGGCCGGACGCTTTTTGCCGGCGGCGCGCCCACGGGAGCAGGCAGAGGGACCCGGCTTTCCCGCGAGGCGGCGGGATTGCTCCGAAGTCCTCCCGCGTTCTGAGGAGCTCTCAGTGGATTCGGAGGAGAAGATTCGGAAATCGGAAATTAGAACGTATACATTACCAGTGGCGGGCTGTTTCTTCAATCCCAAGGCTCTTTGAGGGTCGGGGACGACGCTGGGGTAGTGTGGTGTATATTTTTTCCCCCGATGTCCCGGGAAAACAACGAAACATGTATACACCAGGATCCGTATATACCAAAATCCGTTTTCTTGTGCGAATCTCAGTGCGGGACCGGAAAAAAGCGTCGATGCATAAAGTTCGGTCCCTTACAGATCTGTCGGAAGGGGCGGGGAGACTTCTGGGGAACCCCACCGCCTTTTCAGGAGGCCGGCCCCTCTTTTGCCTCCCTTCCTTCCCCTGGCGCGCCGCCGGTTCTGGCGGCGCGTGCCTGTGGGCGCCCCGTGCGCGCATGACGGCCCAAGGAGTGTGCGCCCGTCGCCCTCCGAGTTGGGCTGGGCATCCCACGGGAGTTTAATTTAGCACCTCGGAGCACAGCACACATTCATAACCCTGAGATCCTGGCGTCTCGATGTTTTCGAGCGGGGGGGGGTCGTATGACCTCGGGCCCCAGGACCCCCGCAGATCGATCCGCTTCGAAAAACGATGCAGAAAGATGGGGTCCCGGGCGTGGTTTGGTACGGTGCTGCAGTTTTTTCGTTACGTCGGATCTCAGGGAACATCTTAGTGGGCCCTGGAAGCGACAGGGCCGTTTTTTTACTGGTTCCGTTTTGCCGTTTTTGTTGCCGGTTCCGACGCCGTTTTTTTACCGATTCCGTCGCCGTCCGTTGACCCGTTCCGGCTCCGGTTCCAATCTTGGAGCCGTTCTTTTGCCGTTTCCGGTCGCCGTTGTTTTGCCGTTTCCACTTTCAAGGGACATTTTCTGGAAACGGTGAAAAAACGGCCCTGCCGTTTCCGGGGCCCACAAAGGGGAACATTGACTTCGGATGCTTCGTTATGGAGCTCTTGGGTCGGCGCTGAAGCCCCGCTTGGCGCGCGGGGGGCGCGCCTGGGGCGGCCCTGGGGCTGCCGCCTGGGGGGGGGCCTCTTCCTCCACCTCGTCCACTTCGCAGGCAGGCTATGGGGCCCCCGACTATTGTTTCTCCTCCGCCGCCTCCTCCTCCTCCTCCTCCTCCTCCTCCTCGAAGGCCGTCCTGTGGGTCACCCAAGGCCGTCGCGGCGATGTTCTGGGCATGCCTCGGGCCGCCTTGGGTTCCTCGGGGGCCGTCTTGACCCCTCCCCCGACAACATGATTTGTTCATAGCGTCGACCCCGAGCGGTCTCGACCCATTCCCCAGGACTGGCTTCTCATCCTGAGCCGTTTTCTGACGGTCCCGAGGCCCGGCGAGGGCCCCCAGGGGCCGGAAACAGCTAAAAAGCACCCGTCATAATGTGTTCATTCATTATATATATATATATATAGACAGACAAAAACATTGCTCGAGGGGGGTCTGGGCCTGGGGCCCTCCCCAAGGGCGTCTTGGGCTGCGCGGCGGGCGCGGCACGTCCGAGGCAGCCGCCTGCTGAAACGCCGACGAGGCGACCGGGGCGGGCGTGGCCCGCCCCGGCCCGGCCGGCCGGCCCCCACTCCGGGGGCAACGATGGGGGCGGGGGGGATGGGCTTAAGCCGTGCCCGTCCCTCTACATGAGGAAAATCCAAAAAGAGTCAAACAATAGTCAGGGGGCGATGTTTCGATTATTTTTGTTACCATTGGGGGGTATTGTTGGCCTATTTTGCATTTTTCGCCCAAAATCCCTTGTAGGTGGACATGCCCGGCCTAAGCATAGGGGGGGGGACGCATCGATCCCCAATCGCCCATCGATCGCCGAAGGGGGGTTCCGTCGACGACGGCGTGGAGGGGATCGAGCCCAGTGTGCGCAGCTCCGCACCCATTGGGCGCACGGGGCTGGGACCCATGCCGCCGCCAATCTTGTCGGAACCCAGCGTGGCCATCCAAAGTCATGCTGGTGATCCGTTACGGTGTGCATTGGTCCACCTCTCTGTGCGACGGTTAGTCGAGTCCCTGGTTCGGCCTCTCTTTACTTCGATCTGGCGGTAGAAGGAGGACACAGGGGCCAGCGGCGCCAGGGGACCCGAAGGCCATGTCGGCAACGATGGTCCAACCGAGGGCTGCAGGAGGCCTCGTGGGAAGCTGCTGGTGCCTAGCGTGGCCATCCCAGGTGGAACCTCAGGCATTGGCGTGCACGGCTTCACCTGTTTATGCGAGGGTTAGTCGCGATCCTGGCGATGCCGAAGGCACAGTGCACGCCCAGGGCTGGACCCTCGGAAGCAATGCCCCTGAGGACCACGGAAGGTACCAAAGAGTCCAAGGCGATGGGTTTGTCGGTGCGTCCGCCCCTTCAGTTCCCGTGATGCCCAGGTCCACCCTGCCACCGCTACTTCTGGAACCCAGCGTGGCCATCCCAGGAGCCACAGGTGTTGGCGTGCATGGGTCCACCTGGCGTCGCGTCCATGGTGTCCTTCTGGAATTGAGCGAGGGCGACACTAGACCAGTCCATCAGGCGGAGCAAGGTGCCTGTGAGGGGCAAGCCCGACAGGAATGAACGGGGGACGCGGGGTCCAGCCCCGGCATACTGCGCAAAGAAGGACGCGCCGATTGCCTAAGCCTCCACCCTGCCGAGCACGGCCAGGCCGAGGACCTTCGGCGCGGCACCTCAGCAACAGCGGCACTGCTCCCCGCGAGGGAGGTCGGGGGCAACGTGACGGAGCAATGCGCTGAGGGCACCCTGCCCCCGAGCGTTGCCGCCGACCGAGTGGCGCAGACCCTGCTCGTCCCAGACAGGCATCGCCGCCACGGCCGCATTCGAGGGGAGTCGGAGGAGGGGAAGATCTTGGCGCCGCTGCTCGTCCTGGAGAGCCTTCGTCGCCACGGCCGGCTTCTCGGGGCGTCGGAGGAGGGTAAGATCTTGGCACCGCTGCTCGTCCTGGAGAGCCCTCTCGTCGCAACGGCCGGAACATGGAACCCAGCCGCCAGGGCGTGGTGCAGACCCAAGCGGACCCCAGTTGACCCCATTGGCTGCCCGTCCAGGTGCAGTGGCCTTGGGCCACCCAGTCCCTGACCCAGAGGCGTTTGAGGCCGAGCTGCATGCGAAGTCTGACGGTGACAGAGTGGAAGTTGTCGAGCTCCATGCGCTGGCGGTCCGCCCGCTGGCTGCCAAAAAACGTGTCGCCCCTGTGCGGTTCCTGGCGCCAGAACGCAATGGATGTGACCGACACGCAGGGCAGGCCGTCGTGGGCGTCGCGCAGGCAGAGGCTCGCTTCCCTTGCACCTCAGGTCCGCGGCCTGGTTGGGCGGACCACTTGGGCGACAACGATGCCGAGCCCAACGCGCCTGGACCCGACACCATGCCCGACGCCCAAGCCGACGCCCAGTCCAGTACCCCTCACGGCGCCCCTCCCGACGACGCCCCGACCGGCGCCCCCCACGATGACGCCTCTCACGGCATCATCCCCGACACCTTCCCCGACGCCCTCCCCCACTGCCCGCCAACCTTTCCGACGCCCCGTCCTGCGTCTGCCTGCCATTCTGGTCGTTGTGTGGTGTCCGTCTTTGCGGCCCGCCACGTCGTCGGCTCAAGCCGACGATTGGGTCACCACGGACACATATCCGCACGTGAACCTTCTGCCTGCTCCTGAGGCTCCTCGCAGTTCCCCTGCGAAGATGGCCGCGGGCGGCTCCGGCGCCGCTGGCCCTTCCAGCGATGGCTCGCGACGGGGATCTCCTCGACCCGCACGTTGCGAATTCCTGCAGCTCACCAGGGACACCTGGGCCGCGTTGTCAGACATCCGCGTCCAATGGGACTCGCTCACTTCGGATTATAAGAAGCAGGGCAAGGGGTGGGCTCGTTTGAGGATGTCCTAACTCGCGCCCTGCTCGACTTCAGATCTCGAAGGTGGGCCATTCTAGCCAGCGCCAAGAGGACGGACCAGAGAGGTCCGCGGTGCAAAGATATCTGTTGACCCCCAGCTGGGACGCCGAGGAAGTGCGTTTCCCGCCTCCGCCAGCCCTGCTTCACGGCCGCTGCTCTCGCGCCTAGCTTGGCACGCGCGTGGCGCAGGGCACGAAGCACTCGCGCCGATGCCCCGCCCTCCCTCCCCAGGACCTGGCCCAGGACCGTGTCCTCCCTCCTCCGATTCCTCTCCCCATCCTCTCTTGCATCGGTTCTTTCCCTCATCCTCCCTCCGCAGCCCCTTTCTCATGCACCCTCGTCCTCCTTTTTGTTTCCTTTCCCTGCCTCCTTCTCCTCTTCCTCCTCCTCCTCCTCCGCCTGCTTCCTACATCCTCATTCGTTATCCTCCCTCTTTCGTTCCATATATCCTCTTCCATTCGCCTCCTGCCAGTTCTGGCGTTCCGTCCTTCCCGCGCTCGCAATTGGGGACACGGGTCCTGAGGAAACCGGGACTTGAGGTCTTGCACCGTTTTCGGGCTCTCGGGGCCCCCCACCGGCCCCGGGAGCGTCAGAAAACGATTCAGGAGATTCCGTCCTGGGGAAAAGCGCCAGTGTCCTGGACTCGTTTCCCTGCGAACCCGCTTCCCCCATGCTAATTTTTCGCGCGCCAGACGCTGCCGCAGACGCGGTCGAAAACAAGGTCGACGCGGGCGAAGACGCGGTCAAAGACAAGGTCGACGCGGGCGAAGACGCGGTCGAAGACGCAGGCGAAGACGCAGGCGATGACAAGGTCGACGCGGGCAGCGCCCCGGTTAACAAAGACAAAGTGAAGGAGGCGCTCAGCAACGTCGAGGACGCGCAGACAAAGCTGGAG